GAGCGGTGGGGGGAAGGGACCTGGGAATTGTATACTAATGAAGGAATTTTTTTCTTTTTTTTTTTTTCCTCTCTTCGGAGGGGGAAGCAAGCTGGTGGGGAGGGGTGGGAAGGGAGAAAATTGCGGCAATGAATGAATGGAAATCCAAAACCTCTGTAAAAAAATAAATAAATAAAAAATTATTTTAAAAAACCCCGAAAACATGTAGCTTCCTAAAGTTACATTGAACAGATGCAGAGAATCAGAAATGAAAAAGACAAGACTCTTATGTTTGGGGGTATTACAGTATCATCCAACAATGAAAAATAAAAATGGATTTGTGGAACTCTGCATAACCTGAATCAATCTAAAGGATATTACACTGAGTGAAATAGTATTAATCATTACTGTGGAGTTTGAATTGACTCCTAGCGGAATCCCCAACTGATTTTTTGAGGTTCTAAATTGCATAGGAGTAGATTGACCATCTTTCTTCCTTGGAGTCAGTCATAAAAGAATAAATATTGTGTAAGATCACTATTATAAAAAGCCAAAGAAAGGTTTATACACAGGCAGAATGATTCCTTGTTTCAAGAGGTGGGAAAGGATGAGGAGGCTTTTATTGGAAAGCCTAGTTCTGCTACCTGCCACTGGGAGAAACAGTTTTTATGTCAGGAGTTGTAATGAAAAAGCAGAAGATTCATTACATATAAATATATAGGAGATAGGGGAATAAATTTCCCAAACCTGTGTTAATGAATAAAAAATATGAGGGAGTGTTTATTTTGCAATTTTATGAAGAGAAAGACAGGGCTATCTCTATTGTGTACCATAGAGTTGGAACTTATCCATAACTGACCCTCCTGTGGGTTTACAGAGGCAGCTAAATCTATGGAAGAGGATTGCTCATCTTTTCCCCCATTGAGAAGCTGGTGGACTCGAACCTCATTCCTTCAAGATTTCAGCACAGCTTCTTGCCACTAGAGATTATGCAAATCAAGAGTTATGTGCAACTGGTCTCCAAGATGGCCTCTTATACTTCACATTAAGTTAGGTACTTATTCATCACAGGAAGGTGCGATGGCCTCTTGCTCATGGCTGTTTTCTAGAAGTTAATACAGAGGCCATTGTTACCTTTCTTGAATATCTATTGCACCTAAAGCTCTTCTAGGCCACTCAGAGCAAGAATTGTCAGTCAAGTTAAGCATTGTAAAGGACCTGGATCTGCCTGTATTAGCTGAATATCACCTTTTTTGATTGGAAGTGTTTAAGGGATAAACACTTTGCTTGCAAAGAAATGTAGTTTTATTGAACACGTTATGTAAAAAGGAGAACACTGTGGGAAGACAGAGAAGACTGTGATTCAGAGCAAACCTAGTAGTATTTTGCTAAATTAACTTTTTTCTTCCTATTCATTGAAGAGGTTGTCTTTGGGGCAAGTTCAGAAGGTCTTCTCTATTATGTTCTTGAAAAGGGAGTGAATCTTATCTATAGCTTGAGGAGGGTGGATGAAGGACACAAACTGAAGACTTCAGTTTGAAAAGAACATCTCCCTAAATTGTCCTAGATGGAAAGGACATAGGGATTTGGCCTGATAAGATCTTGTTACCAAATTCAAGAAAGATTATATATAAAAACAGTTTGTACTCTCAAGTTTTGGCACCAAAATGTTACTATGTGGTCAGTATCCTGTCTTCAGTGTCCCTTTCCAGGACAAAGAATTAAGCTGCGTGAGAGACT